AAATGATGTTGGGAAAAAATTTCTCAATATAATCCATCTCTGTGATTATTTTTTTCATCTAGGGTGAATTGCACAATACCAATCTAAAGACATCAGGTACTCCATAATTCTTCAAGCTAAATATGAAGACTCCACGATTACATACGTCTTCAGGTAAATGAAGAAGATCCCACGACTGTATGACGTCTTTAGACAAATGAAGAATATTTCAGGAGTACACATCATCTTCAGACCAATAAGAAGTCCTAGTTTAAGAAATAATATGATGGATCTCTTATATGAAAAAAATCATTTTTTTCACAACCTTATATGGACGAGGAAGCCGGTACTATTATATTGGTGTGTTTTTATCATTTGGAAAATAAATGTCATTTTAAGAATTAAAAAATTTTAAGTGTTATCTTATAAAAAACTAAAAGATATTATTTTAGCCGACTTTTTGATATGTTTAAATTAATATTTAATTTGAAGATAAGATCAATATCCATAGACGTCCGAAATTATTTAATGCTTTATACTACTACATTTATGACATTCGAGTGTACGTATAGCTAGATGGTATGAAAGCCAAGTGTCGTTATTGAATTTGGACTTTGACAGTGAAGTGTGCTAATTAATTTCATGCCATCCCTGGATAAAGTATGTTCAATTTTTATTTTGGATGAAATTGATTTTAAACGTAATGCGAGCATATAATATGCATATGAATATGAATATATATATATATATGAGAAAATAATTTATAATTTATATCGATGTAAAATCGATGAGATTGTAATTGATAGTATTTGATATGATAAAAAATAAAATGTCAAAATCAATCATTTTAATACGAGTGAAGAGCTATTGATAAGTGAAAAACCGCATTAATAGGAGAAGATGATTCTGTTATAATCTTTAGAGAGAGAAAGAGAAATTCTTACAGGAGAATGATAAATTTTTTATATTAGAATAATACGTAACATAATCATATTAGAAAAAAATCTTTATATGATTTTTATAAGTTATGATAGTCTATAACTAAAGAAGGGGTATATAAATAAAGATTCATTAATTAATTGAGCGGTTAAGAATGTTATATTATCCTATTTAGTGTGAGTTCAAATTTTATCATTTATTTTGAAAATGTAATACGTCTCTATTTAATATTTCATTAAAAATTAATATAAGTTAAAAATATTATAAAAATATATTATTCTTTTACTGTAATTATAATACAAACATAATAAAATTACGACACAAATAATAAAGTCAAAGATAAAACAAATCACGACATCACATTTTGTGTTGAATGATGTTGCCCTTACATTAAGCGGGAGAATGAAGCAAAGTCAGAGCTTCTTACTCTTCAAATTGGTGGCCGAATCAAATTCCAAAACAACTTATTAACACGTATATCTTTAATGTTCACACAAATTAAATAAAAAAGAATAATCAAAATTCATAATTAGATTTTTGTGATAGATATTATAATTTGAAATTTTAAAAAAATATTAAAACTAAAATCTTTAATATTTTAAATATCATCCATCGATAATCATCATATAATTAAATTAAATTAAATTAAATTTTGCTATGGTTGCCAACTAGTGACAACAAGTAGGAGTCCAAGTTGCCATTTGGCAGCAATATAGGAGGACCAGCATACACAAATTATGCAACTTTATCAAAAATTTTCATTTCAGTCCGTTTCAAATTCTCCAAGAAACTTGATTCCATCCATTGGGGATTTTTTTTCAATTTTCTTGCAAGCCTAATGATTTCTCAATTTGTTGTTGCACTTGCAGATATTACATGAGATTGTCAAACCAAAAAGGGTGGTCCAATAACACATTATAGTGGGTGGACCAATAACACATTATAGTGGGTGGACCATTAAGGTCACCAAGAGAATAACCTTCGGCATAAGCATTCCATATAAACCTTACAAATAGTATATTCTTATTGTATATATATATATATAATTTGAATCCAATATTATAGAGGATCAATATGATGACAATCTTTCCAATCTAAATTATTTCATTCACAACACCAATATTCAAATTCATATCCTTATTTAAGGAGTTAATGTTTGAAAAGTAAAACTAATTTAATAACTAAGTTAAACATTTTTAATTAAAAACCAATTACATACAAATATGTTTCATTTTGGTAGATTTATACTTTTTATGAAATTTCGTCATTAGTCCTTGTACTATGTATAATTTCTTGTCTTTGATTTATATATTTAATTTTTATTCAAATTTTTTAAAAAATTTAAAACTCTAGTTACAACCCAAATAATATAGAGATAAAATGATTAAATTACGACGACTTAAAATGATCCATAGACGGATATGAACTAAATTTAAAACTTATGCATATTACAAAATTTAATAATAAAATTTAATTTGATATCATTAATAATTATTTTGAGCCAAAGTCAGAATCAGAATTTCAAAATTTTAAGAAGTACACATGATGATAATAATATAAAAATAATAATAATAAAATTAGAGTAATAGATTAAATCCACAACTTTTTGCATACTATATGAACTAATAAAAATTGATCTTTTTATGCTGTTAGACTTGACTCAAAATCTATAAAAACAATTTCAAATATTGTATTAACAGATCACGCAATTATCGATATTTTGATTGATATATTTATTGTTTTTACATTTTTTTTAGAAAATAAATATACTTGTAATATCAAAGCGAATGACATACCAAAATATCCAATGCGTGCTCCACTTTGAAAATGTGGAAATGTGGTCAATTTTGTCAAGTTGTGAAGATATGACATTGAAATGAGAGATCTGTCTTCCTCTTTAAAGACAAAATCTTTTTACATTTTTAGGCTTTAACTATGGAGGCTGGATTTGCTCTATCCTTTCCCACCCCACCAATTTTATTTACCACCCAAACTACGCAATTGTCAAATCCCCACATAAATGCCTCACTAACTAATAAAAACAATTAAAATATATTTGTTATAATTAAATTAAGGGTAAAGTATAGTAATGGTCACTGAACTTTTCTAAAGCTTTCATTTACGTCCCCCAACTTTTAAAACTTACAATATAATCCCCCAATATTTAGTCCATTTGCAATATGGTCCCTCAACATTTAGTCCATTTGCAATATGGTCCCTGGTGTAACTGTTGGGGGACCATATTGCAAACAGACTAAATGTTAGAGGGTTGTATTGCAATTTTTGAAAGTTAGGGACCTAAATGAAAGCTTTAGAAAAGTTTAATGACCCTTATTATACTTTACCCTTAATATTACCAACTTATTTTTTTTCCAAGATGGTTAGCATGGTATCGATTAAGAGTAACTAAAATTATACTCTATTCAAAAATTAAACTTTTAATTCGATTTAATGTTAAAATTTTTAACTCAATTTGATTCGACTCTTAAATTAAAAAAACCCAATTAAATTTGACAATTTAAATAAAATTTGAGTTATAAAATAAGACTCATTAATTCTAACTCAAAATTTGTTGACTTGTTTGATCAAGTCTCTTGTATCAATATTCTTAGAGATGAGATTTTTATTCAAATAGTGATGGATTTATATCCAATCTTATAAGATTACTTATTAAAAATTTTGGGTTTGGATAAGTTTTTTAAAGATAAGATCATATCATGTCTTAGATTTCACAGTAAAATGTTCTCAATTTGACGGTTTGGCCCAATAATAATATACATATATTTGTTAGGTGCGGGATTTTACCTTAAAAATTAAATCAAATTACGGATCAAGTGTATTTATCTTAAATCTATGGAAGGATATTATATTCGATCAGATTCGAGTAGACTAAAAATCCGTCTCGATCCATAATCATCCTTCATATTATTTGTATCGACTTGTACTAGTTATAAATTAATATGTTAAGTAAATTACATTTTGTTTCAGTTAAAATTTTAACATTATATAATATATTTCAATAAGTGTCAACCTATAATAGTTAATATAATATTTTTTTTAAATATGTTAAATTAATTTTTTCTCCTAATTATTTTTATTTTTATAATAATCTTAACATTTATATTTTATATATTTATACTTTAGATTTTAAAATTTTCAAATTTAAATCTCATTATTCTTGGATATATTATACATAAATTTTCAATGCAGATTTACTCTAATTTGTGTCCAGTATATATTGAATTTTTTATTTACAATTATTTTATCGATTAACTTTTTATAAATATAATTTCAAAAGAATGATATAAAAATGAGTTAAAAGTTAAATAAAAAATATAATTAATAATAGCGTAAAGTATAGTAATGGTCACTGAACTTTTCTAAAGCTTTCATTTAGGTCTTCTAACTTTTAAAAATTGCAATATAATCTCCTAATATTTAGTCTATTTGTAATATGGTCCCTCAACATTTAGTCTATTTGCAATATAATTCTGACATAACGTTGGAGACCATATTGCAAAAAGACTAAATGTTAGAAGACTATATTGTAAGTTTTAAAAGTTGAGGACCAAAATGAAAGCTTTAGAAAAGTTCAATGACCATTACTATACTTTACCCTTAAATTAATTCATTTATGATGTGAATTTAATTATACACTTAAATTGTAAATATAACCAATTAAGATTTTAGTTAAAATTCATTAAACGATCTTATAGTTAAACAGTATTAATATTACTATTAAAATTTTAAATGCATGTATTAAAATAAAATCTATACTAAACGTTAAGTATAATTTAAATAAATTAATAATTTATAAATTAAAACAAAATAAACGTAATAGTTTAGGTACTAAATTATTAATTTACCCTTAATTTTAACATAATTTTATTCTAAACTTATAACAATTACTAATAAACATAAGATTATTTAAAAAAATATTTAAACAAATATCATTTTGTAATAGTTTTAAATTATTAAAAAATTGAAAGGATAAATAATAAATATTATCTTAAATAAAATAAAATAAATTAATATTTTATCAAATAAAAATTTTATTCAAACACAAATTAAATATAAATATCTTATCTCAATACAACAAAAATATGATTTATTTATAAAATTGTAATTAGTAAATAGTTAAAAGAATATAATAGTTTTAGCGAATACAAGTATTCTATCTCCGGAAACTTGAACCTGGAGTGTAAATAGCAAGATCAGGCCAGCCATTGTTATCGCCACTCCAACAACTTGTATCCGCACCACCCAAATAACTCTCCCCATTATTACTGCTCTCTCCCAATACCGGATCCCGATCCGAACTCTGAACCATCCCACGACCCGAATCCAAATCTCCACCATAATTATTCGCCGTTTTAAAACCCGACCCATTTGAATTAAGCCCTTCTAGAAGGTTTCCAAACTGTCCACTCGATGCCAACAGCGAGCTGAAGCTCCCTCCGATTTTCATCACCTTCCCATCCTGATGGTTAACCGGCAAGAGATACATCCGGGTAGGGTCGATATCCGAATCCGAATTCTGAATCCCCGAGTTCAAAACAACCTGCTGGGGAAACATTGCCGATGATGACGACGTCGGCGGCTGTTGGATCGGGCCAGGAGTTGGGTTGAGGTGGCGTTTTGGGTTGTTGGTGGAGGAGGAAGAGGAGCGTTTGGTGGTCTTGCGGGTGCCGCCGCCGACCGGGATGTTACGAAGGGCGCCGCCCTTGGTCCAATAACGGCGGCAGTTCTTGCAGAAATGGCGGGGCTGAGATAAGTTGTAATTGTTGAAGTAACAGAATTTGGTGTTGGAGGAGTCACAGCGCGGGCATTTCAGCTGCTCTTGCTCTGGAAACGCCGGTGATTTCAGTTGCTGAAAACCCGTGGGGTCTTGCATTTAAATCAAAAATCGAAGATAAATTAGGGTTCGTGGGATTGAATTTATGAGGATCTGAACGCAGCGTTCTTTTGTTTCAAAGAATCGAAAGGTGTGAACTTTTAAAGCTTGTGAAGTGGCGAACGGGACAAAGACAAGAACAGAACGTCGTTTTGTTATTATTTTTTCTTGTTTTCAGACCAAAATCTTGGGATTCATACAAACAAAGAAAATCTGTAAGAAAGAGGAAGAAGAAAAGGCTGTGTGTCTGAACTGAGAGTGACCACTGAGACTTCAAATAAGCAGAAGAGTCCACTCACTTGTCGTGTCTTCTGAGATTTGACCCACCAAAATATATATATATAAAAGGCTTTCACTAATCAAGTAATTAATTAAAATTTAAAAGGTAATCCCAAAATTGCTCATATTCTTTGTTAATGGCGTTGCTGTTCATTTCTATTGTACAAATATTTTATGGGTTGGAGAAACAGCAAATGTCAACGGAAATGATTAACAATGTTTTTGTTAAGTTTTTTATTTAATTATAGAATAATGTTTTGTTAAGCACTTCGTTTATTAAAAGAAAAAAAGATCATTTAATCATTTTATATATTTTATATGAATTAATGTTATTTGTGATATGATAAAATATAATCTCATAATCGTCTTATATGTATTTTGTAGATTTAGTGCTTGAAACATTTTGTTATCGAGTCAGTACTTAAAAGCAACGACGGTGTCAACAAACATCATTAACATATGATTTTATCATATTTTAGCTAACAGTTTAACGCCCATCTTGTATGAGCGTCAATTTTCTAATGAAAATGATGATTTTGGAACATATAAATAGTCAGATGATCATTTTGTAATTTTAAATAGTCAGAGGGCTTAACAACATTTTATAACATTTAATAGTCATATGACTCAATAAAACTATATTATATTGAGGAATCGTTTATCTACTTTATCCTTGAAAATAACTATCTAAATTATATGGATATTTGTTTTAAAAAAACTTGATAAAAAAATTAGATACTCAAAAAAATAGCTGCATACATATACCTCAAAACTAATATTATCAGACAAACATCGAAGGAGATTGGCGTAATAGCACGATGAACGTTTAGATTAACTTTTGTCGATTTTGACTGAGTTTCACAAAAAAATACTTCAATGAGAATAAATAGATGAAATGTAAAAAAAATTAATATCAATCTTGCACGAATGAAGACCGGTGACAGGTACTAGCTACCAACAACAACTTCAACGCTTAAAATGAACCTTTTTAAAGTTTAGTGATAAATAGATATACTTTTAAAGTTTAGTGTCTAAAACGATATCATTTTGAACATCTATAGGCACATAAAAATGATATAATTTTGTCTATATCATCAAAATGATGAAGAGGTTTATCTATATCATTATACTATTAAATTTAAAATTTAACGATCCAACAATACAATTAAAACTAAATTCAAAATTTATTATTATAATTAAAATGACTAAAAATTCAATATTATAAATAAAACAATCTATAAATAAAGTATTATGTGGAACACAGAGACAAAATCAGACAACAATATAACACAATTTATTATTATTTTGTTTCATTTTAATGTCTAAATTTTATTTTATTTTTTTAAATCATATGTAACATTTAATTTAAGTTTTAATTTAGTATCCGTTATTAAAAAAATTAATAGAATTATTGATGTGATATTTTTTATTTTTTCAATGATGATGTGACATAATTTTATGACCACACATTAACATCAACGTTAAATTTTTAACTACATAGCACTACATTAAAACCTAAACCAAATGATTAGAAATGATTTAAAAAAATAAAGTTCATGTACTAAAAAAAATAAAAGTAATATTTTATGTACTAAAACATGTAATTTATTAAATGAAACAACTATTTAACCCTATCGGATATGATAAAGTCATTATCAACACGTGGCGGAACCCGTCGATAGATCGGGAATACATTAGGACAGGCGGTGAGGTGTTAGGGTAACAGCTAAATAACCGGAGGAAATATGAAAACTTATAAGGTGGGCCCATTTTCTCCGTAATTTATTGGGTGTCGTTTGTGTTACCGACGTATTTTTCATCAACATAAACATTGGAGAAACTCCCGAGCCGGGATGGCAAGATGAATTATCTTGGTTAAATTCTTATTAGTTCTGATAGTATTTGTTTTAATTTAATTTAGTCCTGAACCTTAAATATTTTAAAATTCCGATCCCAAATCAAATAGTAGTAGTGAAATATGTTAACCCAAATCTTTCCATTAAGATTCGTAATGTGTAAACCTACTCATGATTCAATAATTCTTAAATTTAGATAATTATATTTAGGTGCACTCGAATCAATAATCTTATAATAACAATAATATCAATCGAATAATATTGAACCGATTTTAAAATAATAAATAATCTTTAATCATACTTATAAATTTGGATCTCACTTAAAACAATTTTCTAAAGTTTTTTTATTACAAGAACATTTAGGAAAATGATTGAACAAAAAAATTGAGTGGTGAGAGTAGAGACTAATAATTACAGTAGGCCCCATATGAAAATGAATGAACGGCTATGATTAGGGGGATAGCTTGAAGGATAGATGGGGAGTAGGGCCCAGGAGGCATGGTGATGGGCCCAAGAGGCCTAGCGTGAGTTAATGGTCCTTAATGTAAAGCGTTCCTGTCGTTCCCGCATGCAACACGGCTCAAATAGCGTACCTCAAATCCCTCCTTTATTACGCTTCTACTTTTCTTTTTCCTTTTAATATTTTATAATCACTTATATTTAATTAATAGATTAATTCAAACTAATTATTATAAAATATGATATTTTCAATCCTCGATTCGGAATATCGAAATTCAAACCTGAACCTTATTTAAACAACCTAGACCCTTATTTTGGGTCTACTATAAAAAAGCAATAATAATAACAATGTGTGTTGGGTTTTCCCCACGGAAATTAAATTTGAGTTCGAAGCCCTAAGAAAGTGGGAATTTGGGGGTATCGATGCTCCTCTCCTTTTATTATATTGTGAAAGATGTTTTCGATCGTCCTATTGTTGTGTACGCAGATTCGATGCCTTAAAAAATGCTTCATTCGTGGTACAGATTAATCCATGAGAATCAGCTTTAGATTCGCAGCCGCCACACATGTTAAGTTTGTCGTGCATTGAATATGTCTCAAAGAATATAACATACTAAGTTTCAATTGGCGGACTCTATTTTTTTTTTTTGAATAGTTAGAATAATTATAAAAAAATTTATTTAATTTTTTAATTATTGACAATACGCATATATCTCACAAAGCGGTTATTTGAACTCGAAACTTCTAAAAAAAGTAATACTCCTCTTTCCTCTCTACGATTCATGAGTTTGGACTAAGTTCTTGAATGGAATATATTAGGGCACTTGTAAAATCCAAAATATTTCAAAATTCGTATTCATGTTCGATTTTTAAGTTTAATTATTATTTTATTTTAGAACGATAGGACGAGGGTTACAAGATGACAACGGATAAGAACTCGAACGAGTCTCATAATTATTGTTTGTTTATTAAAGATTGAGCGTTACTAAAACCTTCAATTTAGCAAAGGTTGATACACTTTGAAGTATTTGGGTCAAAACCTAGTCACCAAAATCAATCAAGAAAAGCAATAAAAAAATTAGAGTGCTAGTTTAGACACATCCATCCCACCAAGATTTTTCCTTTTTTAGTAAAAAGAAAAGACGAAATTTTCACCTTAGAAACCTAGTTGCAATTACTCAACATACTGTAGTTTTGTTGTAGGGAGCTACAGTCACATTTCTGCCAACTTCAACCCAACACAAATTATAAACATTGCTCCCTCTTCTACTTTTTAAAGTAGGGGATTCAAAAGGGATCTTTTGGGATTCGGGAGGAGAGAAAACATGAACCGAGCCGTCCACCACGGAACAAAGGCAGGTTTCTTCATGGCTTCTTGACCTTGATATCATGGCACGTGCTATGGGTTTTGGGGGCATCCGGGGTGTGTGAATCGATTGGGGGGAAAGAAAAAGTAGCTTTTGCCATCACCAACCCGAAAAAAGTTAAACCAAGCAAAAGCGTTTCTTGGACCATAGTTATGCATAGTACATGTACAAGCTGTTTGCAGCAGCACAGGCAATTAAGTTTTCGGTTGGGTGCCATGCTAGGTGCAGCAACTTTGTTGTGAAATCCAAAGCATTTCCATTTGCATCAACTCCCGATGTTTCGGCTCCTGGTATGACAAATTCACCCCAAATAAAAGCATTTCAGTACAAATAATCAACCCCTCACCCCCCAAAGAAACAACTCAAATGTGTAACACCAAATCACTACCTCGTCTGACAACACGTGTTATACTGCTTAGGGATCTGGAAGGCCTTGAAGGAGTCTGAACCTGTCTCCTGAAAAGACATGGATGTTTATAACTACCAACTAACATCAATACAGAAATCATAATTCACATTGCGCAGAACTTGTCTTTTACCCTGCTAGGGTGAATATTTTACCTCATCGGATTTTTGCTGGCTTCCAAAGTTGTTGCCTCTGTGCTTCCCGGGGCACAACCAAACACTCGGAATAGATTGCTGATATCATAGAGGAATTGTAAATATTATGTTACATGGAAGAAGAAGTCAACAACAAAAAGCTACACCTGACGGCTTTGTTCAGAACAGACCTGTAGGAACCCGTTGCCACTCGCAATCCATCTCCACTTACGCAACACTCAATTTGTCAAAGATGAATCATTTCATACAAATCACACAGCTGAAACAATAAAAAATGCCATAATCAGCAATCACAGCAGATCCCAAATATGATTATTTCAATTTCATCACTTTCAGAAGATAATAATAATAATACCTTAGGTCTCAAATATCATGAACCTGGAACGTTGAAACTGGACCCGAATCCATATTGATGTCCCAAAGCTACAACCAAGTGACACGTAATCATGTTATATGACAAGTAAGACCCCCATGAAAAAGGAAACATCAAATATATATGTTATACAGAACAAATCAGTTTAGTTTTAAAACATTGAGCTTGTATATATGTGCTCAAATACTGAGTAGAGAAACTAGCAAAACATTTACCCTCAGCCCACCATTTCACGTCTTCAGATAAAGTTCTCTATGAGAAATTTTGAGTATTTGATTCCTAGCCAAAATGGCAACAAAACAAATTGTTGTCCCATTTTAATCAATTGCTATCATGTGTCCACAAACTAAATCTTTAAAGACTTACAATTGCAGCCAAATGTACTTAGAGCTT